CATAGTTTCAGAACTCATCTATAATCTAGAGCCCAACCTTGAATATAAATTTCCTCATTAAAAGTCACCTGTTTTGCTATACTTGTACAGACCAACTTTAAGAACTACTCATACAGTAGCTACTACAGACCAACTAACAAAGAACCACTGAAATCAACACCGTAAAGTTCAATTCAATCAGATCACTACATCTGAGAAGAGACACTAATAACATTTCCAGCAATTCTGACATCCCCCTCATTCTCAAGATGGCTTCAAACACCTGCCTAAACAGAGCTTAAAAAATTTGGAGCAACTCGTGCATAATTGCTTCGAAGAAGAAAAATCAAACCCCATCCTGGTCCTATAGATCCTGACATTGAAGCATAATGTAAATTTCCTTCTAATTTTTTTCTGTGAATGTTATGTGAAGAGTGCAGCATATTCAGAAAGACCATCGACATCAATATGAAGAATAATGACTTCCCAAAGGAATTGTAACACTTGCCTCATTGGCATCCAGCACCATAAACTAATAATCTGTAGAATGTAAATAAGCCACAAGTTTTATCAATCCAGATACACCATGAAAACACGAGCCAGTATATAAATCCAAAGGATTAAGGCTAAGACATTTTCAAAATAATGCGTATCTCATAATAAACTTAATAGAGATTTCTGTTTATGCTAAAGGACATAAAAGGAAGACATAAGAATCAGGGAAGCACAATCATTAGAGAACTGTGGCCAAAGTAACCTTCTTGAATTGTAGCCAGCAACAGTCAATTCAAGTGTTAACAACGGTTCAAGGAAACACAGCAGAATTATTGCTGGTACTAGTACATACCAGTTTGAATAAACAGCTTATGAATTCTTATATAAGAGTACTTGAAAAGGGAAAGTAGGAATATCCATCAACCACTAGCACAGAACTTCATTTCCATCATCTTCATCTGCATTAGGGGAGAATGTTAATATGTCTTCAAAACAATTAATTCAGTACTAATTGGGACTGAGGAAGCTCATTCTATCTTTTATCCTAATACTGGTAGTTAAAAGGTGATTTTAATTGCCATAGTAATCAGATATAATGAAGAGCAAAACTGTTTCAGATTAAATAACATTTGCATCAGAATTGCTGTTATATGCTTTTCAGCTCCTAGAAAGCTGTCTTCAGTTCTTTTTTTCTCTCTCTTGTTCAGATATGCACATGGAAGCAATGCTGCAAGAATTTTGCAGATGTTAAATCAGATGGAAGTAATGAAAGACTACGCATAAATGTATCATAGCCCAGTCTGCTACAGCCCTCAAAACATAGGAAACAGTGCTGAAAAACAGCTGTTATCGAATGTTCCCTTTCCACAGCGCTGGTGCACACTCAAGAAGAGAAGGGACTGTTAAGCCCTCTTCCTACAGAATTCCTCCACTCCAATGAGAAAGAATGGTTCATGATTTCAACTGTGAAATTTGGGATTACTAGGCTTGTGGGTCAGTCACATAGGTCTTTCTCTGTCTCCATACTGCACTGGGAAAACAGGCACACAGAAGTACCTTTCAAAAATGACCAAATGTCCCCAAGCCCTACGGCTACAACTGAGGAGCTGGAGCTTTCTACATGCTAGTAAAATTGTCTGGAACTAACAGATTCCAACAGTTGCCAGAATGCCCTGCTATGGCTTTGACTGCATCACAGACCAAAGTGAGATGTTCAGGCACCACGTAACAGGAAATATAAGATTTTTTTATCTTGAGGTTTTAATATTCAACAACAGGACTCACTATAAATTGCTTTAAGGTGTAGTTGTAAATTAGTGATGTATGAAATCCACTTTTCACTAAGAACAGTTTAAAGTTCATTCTGAAAAACGTTGATGCAAATAAGTGGAATTCCATGACAACACAGAAATTTCTCAGCCAATCAATTCTTTGATTGAATTTATCAACTATCAATTTTGATAAAATTTTTAATTGCAAATTTTAATCACATTTAAACAGTCACTTTTATATGGTTATTAATATCTTCCTCAAAATTGCTCGAGCATGCCATAGATAGGGAAAATGGTGTTACATTACGAAAATATTTCTCAGAAATTCTGAGTTGTTCCACAAATTGAGCACTACATAATGCTTTGCCCATCATACTCTTTTTACATAAAGTCTCAAAAGTTGCCTTTGGCTGCCATTGCACAGCCGTTTCTGTCCAAACCACCTCATTTGTATCAACAATTCTATCCAAAATAATGCCAAATCCACTGATTGCAACTTAAGAACCAACTCCCAATACAATTGCCTTCAAGACAAACCACAGGCTCAAAAACTCTTAGTCTCATTTAATATTTATTTCTGTTTAACTGAGGATGTCTTAAGCTTTCTGTATGTATTACTGACCTTATTTACAAAAAAAATATTACACATTGGTATAATGCATGGTGTACATGTTGGTAAGTTCCTACTGTAATTTTTTATTTTAGAAGGTATATGTTGATTCTGTCACCTGTCAGTCCACTTTTTTTTGCATGAAAACACTTGTATTTTGAAATGTGGACATGTTTTAAGATTTAGAATTATCTAAGTTTTTACAATGCTGCCCACTGTAAATCACTTTAAAGTTTACACAGAGGTGAACAGTTACCTGTATTTTTACATTTGTCTTCACACATTTTGGAATGCGTAGTGGGATTTATATCAGTTTACAGATAGTATTTAGATGACATCTCAATTACACCAGGCACTCCACAAAGAACAAAACACCAAACTGAGTAACCTGGTCTTTAAAATATTGGCAACTCTAAGATTGCTTTATAAAATGGAATGGTAGAGAACAGTTGTTAATTCCAGCCACACCGCAGTTATCTGCTCTCTCAGTTACAACAAGAAACAGAAATTCATGTAATATTTAATTAATTCTAATTAATTCTAGTCTGGACTCTCTAGTGGCCACAAAAAAAGTTGTAGCTGTTGAACCAGGTAACAGAAAAAATACTTATAGAACTACACACTGAAAGTCTGGAAACTGAAGGAACCCTATTGCTCTGACCTGATAGGCTGTAGCAAAACATTAACATTTTATTCTTGAAGATATAGCTAGGGAAATAGCTGAAAGAGAGATAGGTTAAAACACCCTTTGGGTGAAAATCACCTTGTCAAAATGACAGCTCAAGAGGACATCTGTCTCCGTCCTTTAAGTCTTCTGTATCACATTCACTTAGAGAAATTTGCAAACTATTTATATAAGTAGCAATGAGCATACAGAATTAGATGTATGAAGGAAAAAAATAGTTGTTTGGCCAGAACAGTTAATTGAATGTCAGTGTTGTGGAATCCAGTGTGGATGATGCTCTTCTCCCACCACAGCAATTGAGTCGTAATATGTGAAACTGATAGTTGAATATATTTAAATATTAGAAAAATATTTTAGAATTATGAAACTAACTTTGTGTCACTGGTTTAGAAACATTAGTTATTTAAATGGCAATTTCAATGCATTTGTGCATGTACAGTTATTTATATATTTGCAGTTTCAATAAAAAATAAATATGATGCAAAATTAAACTTTAGTTGTGTCTGTTAACAGGAAAGGTTTTTCATGATAAAAAGAAAAATCTTATCAGTACATTGAGGTACCTATGTCACTGCTAAGCAGTGACACCTGCTAAAAAATTAACAGATACAGACAGGTATGTTCTCACTGACCTGAAGCAATTTAAGAAGGTGTAACTTTGTTAGCTACAGTCCTTCAAAACAGACCAATTTACTGACAACCATATCTAAGTGAGATTCTCATACATTTCAACAGCTAATAAAACATGTTCACTTACATTGTCTTCAATGGTAGCTTAAACTAACCTCCCCCAGTGTGACCTGAAGCACAGTGATTGAGGGGAGGGTGATGATGGCACATTGAGGTGATTCTTACCCCACTCACATTAAAGTGCCCCTCCATTACAAGGGACTTTCATCTGTCAGGTGACAGATATGAAAGAAAGATTAGTCAAATGCTGACAGAATGTGTTAGAAAAGTCCCATCAGACATGTCTATGAGCTTAACTTCACAAAATGTAGAAAATGTATTTATGCGTCACATATATTTAAATTTTTTAATTTGTTTATAGTTAAAATTATATTAGCAGGATCTTTATATTGCATGAAATTTAAGTTTGTCATCTACTCAAATCAACACAGTTGCTAAAACTTAAACTACAGCATATTCCATGCAGTAGCACTGCCACTTCAAGCAAGGCCAAAATAATAGGATTTGTGGTACCACTGCAGAAATGCTCCAAACCAGGGAACTGAACAAAAAAATTGCAGCCTCAAGTAATCTCTTGCACAATGCAATGCAGTTTTACTACCTGTACTTGCCTTCTGGAGTCAGAGGTAAAGACTTAAAGCCTGTATTTTACACCCTTCTGGAAACTGTAGCATCATTATCAGGACCACCCAATTCCTCCTGCTTTCTTACCTTCCCCTTTTGTAGGGTGGCCTCATGCAAAATACAGTATTCTCACAGATGACAACACATTGCTTTTTATCATGCTGAAATGTCACTTTGTACTTAGGTTCCAAGATCAACCAGATTTTCCAGCTCCGAACAGGACTGTCGGGAGATTATCCACTATAACATGGAGCCTCCACAACCAAAACCAAAGATGATAATTGCCTCATTGCCTTCATTACAGGGATGTTTCCAGAATGAAATTAACAAAAAATCAAGTAAGATGATACTTCTTGGAAGTAAATCCGTATGAAAAAAATCAATTAACTGCTACAAATAAAAACAAACCAATAATTCACAACAAAGCGTCTTGAAAGGAACGTTATACATATTAATTGGCAGATATGAAATGACACGATCAGGTCAGCTAAAACAAAACAGAATTTTCATTGAAAAAGTCAATCTTATTTCATCGTTAAAAGCCAACAGCAAATATTTTTCATATTGATCACAAATAGCCTTCAGTTTGTTAATCCTTACTTCCCTTTTCTTTTAAAAAATCTCTCTAATGAAAATGATACCTTACCTTTGTTCATATCAATCAACTGCTGCTTCTTCTTCTGTCGCTCCAGTTTCTCTCGTTCAGCCTTCTCTTTCGCCAATTTGGCTCTCCTTGTTTTCTCCTCCAATTCTCTTCTTTTGTTGTTTTCTTTTAGGGCCTCCTGCATTAAATAAAATGAATATGGATGTCTATATACTGAGGAAAACTAGAAAGAATACCAAAAATAAATACAGTATCTGTGAAAACAAGTTATGTCCAATGGGGTGCAGGACAGGGACAAAATGGGACTGGCACCCAACACTTCAAGTATCTTCCTGAATCTTAGAGGGGAAAATACAACTTACCATACTATCTGTACACATTAGCTTTATCAAATAATCAGAAGGATGAAAACTGAAATAGCTTTGCATTTTTAGTGAATCAAAAAGTTCCAAATTTTCAGCACCAACCTGGGGTTTTTTTGTTCTTTTTTTGGTTGGTTGGTTGGGTTTGGGGTTTTTTCTGTTGTTTCGTTTGGTTTTCAGCTTGTTTGTTTTGTTTTTAATTAAGTCTAGCTTAAACCTGTATCTTGATGTTAGGAGGGATGAGTGGGGATGAAGCCAAATTCCCATTATAAAGGACTTAATTACAAGTAATTGAAACTCAGTTACTGAAGTTTAGGCTATAGTTCCTCAAATATGTTTATCGAAATATCCAAAGCAGCCCAAATCACTTAAATACACAAAACACACTGGAAGTAATGGAAAACAGTTGAATCTATAGATTAAGACTCTAAATCTAAAGTCTCTGAGTCAACAGATTACACAAACAACCAAACTAAAAACTACAAAAATACTTCCTGGAATTAAAAAAAAAAAAAAAAAGGCCACAAAACCACACACCAAAAAACACCACAACAAAAAGGCCAAGAACAAACAACCACTTCCCATGATCTTGCCTCCACCCGGTCTAGAAGATACCCTCCTTTCCCAAAGAAGGTTAATCTCAGTTTCCTGCTGTGGTGGGCTGACCATGGCTGGCTGCCAGACACTCACCTAGCCACTCTCCTCAACACCCTCCTCAACAGGATGGGGAGAGAACAAGACGACAAGCTCATGGCTTGAGGTGAAGACGGGGAGATCTCTCTCCAATTACTGTCATGGGCAAAACACTCAGGGAAGATTAATTTCATTTATTGCCAATTAAAATACAGTTGGATGGTGAGAATGAAACACAACAAAGAAAACACCTTTCCCCCTTCTCAGGCTTGACTTCACTCCTCCATTCCCAACGCCTCTATGTCCCCACGCATCCAAGTGTGGCTGCAGGGGTGAAGGGAACCAGGGGCTGCAGTCAGTCCGTAACAGTTCCTCTCTGCCACTCCCGTCCTCCTCACAATTTTCACCTGCTCCACTGTGGCTCCTTCCCTGCAGGCTGCTGTACCCCAGGATGAACCTGCTCCAGTGCGGGCCTTGTCTTCCCTGGGGGCTGCAGGGGTGTTCCTCTCCAGCACCTGGAGCACCTCCTCCCCTCTCATTCTCCACCCTGGGGCTCACAGGGCTGTTTCTCACGCTTTTTCCCCTCACTCACAGCTGGACAATGCTTCGCCCTTTCTCAAACACATTTTCACACCAACACCGTCGGCTTCACCCCTGGGCTCAGCTGTGCCCTGTGGTGGGGCTGTTGCAAAGCCATCCCGAACCGGCTCTGCCTGGCACTGGGCAGCCCTGGCCTGTCCCCACCAAGGAGGCCCCTACAGCATGCCTCTGCCCGCACCCAAACACACAAGTCCATTACATTTACTCATCATTTCTTTTCAAAAATACCTTCATAACTCCTTTTACACTGCCTTCTCTCTCAAAAAAGAGAAATATTTGAATTCCCTTAAGCTGTTCCCAAAGATCCTAAATTTATCCTTAGTTTTACCTTCCCTGAGATTCATTTATCATGAAGAAATTCACTGAAATCCATCATGATGGAATTTCACCTAATGTCACAGGCAGGCTTGATAAATGTTAGGGATAATTTTCTTATTTATATTCACCACAGCTACATATTTACGGCTCCCTTACCTCCCCAACTCAGAGCACACTAACCTCCTCTAACTACAAGAACTGTAGGACTGAGCTTCAAGTGGTTTTTGAGTCCAAACACATTATGTCAAACAAATAGTCAGAACAGTAAGGAAGATACTGCATCCAAAAATGTCTAGAATTAACATGGCACATGGTCATTAATGACTTTTCAACTTAAATAGCTAAACAGTCAAGCCTTACTAAGCACAACATAAATGGTTTCCATGTTAATTGTACTTTATTTTCTACACAATTTAATCATGCCTTAAAAACTAGAAAAATTATACAGATTCAGAAATACAAACAAAGAAGATTTCTTTGTGGATGTCTTTGTAAATATCCAAGACAATGTATCAGATAATATTATTCCAACAGTAAAATTTCCTTAAGAAATTTAGGGCAGATTGGTATTACTGCATTCTATATATTCCCCAGAAATTCCATTTAAAATGTTTATAAGTGAAAATGACTACTCATACATGCTAGGAAGAAACTACAGACATGACTGTCACTTAAAGGAAAAAGAAAAGCACATTTAGGTGTTAAGATTTATATATTGTATAGTATTTAGGAATCCAAGACTCTCATTCACTCAAAGAAAAAAGAAAAGCATACTTCAATGTGCATATGCCATTTTAAAAGTTTACTGAGGTAAAATACTACGCATAGTCCCTTCTTTAATACCTGATACTGTTTTGCAGAGATGCTGGATACCACAGTTACCAGGAATGTTACTTGTGGATGCACTTGAAAATTGAACCAAGAACTGCTTTTGCTGTACCATCACATAACTGATCACACTGAGAAACACTTTTTCTTTCAGAAAAGAGAATTAAAGCAGAAAAAATCAATGTTTTATCCTTTTTGGTTTTGGACAGTTCTGTCTCTGCACATTCAATCACAATTGACACAGATTTCATTTTACTGCAACTTCACAGGCTGTAATGAAAGTAAATGCCCCCAATCTTATGAGACAAAGCAAATAAGAAATGTCACAGCTGAACTAGTAGCCCACTAGCCATTGACATACTATTATTAGATCATAGATTCTGTCACATTTTCTAAGAGGAAGACTACAGTAGACTGAACTAAACAAGCTCTAAAGTTATTGTATCTGGAAATTCACCTTGATCCAGACTCTACAAGTCCTAGCTGAAGAGAGACTATATGAGAATACAAATTACAGTTCATAAAATATGCTGGCTGCCAATGATGAGTCAACAAAAGCCATTCAAAATAAAGGTTTAATTTTCCTGAAGAAAAGTAAGGTAACAAAATAGTGGTAACTCTGTGAGAGTGACTATCTTCACCTACCTACACTCATCCTTTCATCTACATGCAACCAAAAATAAACAAAATCCACCAAAGACGTGCAGTACAGGAAGCACAGAAAGGTCACATAGGCCTGCCCAGTATTTCTTCAAAATACCATTTATTAGTATTTTATTGTATTCCAGGATGTAAAGGCTTTAGAGTATCTGCACACACAGTCTCTTTCCAGAGGCTATGCAGGAAGAGTCAGGGACAGCAAGTAAAAATCCACTACATGCTAACTGGAAATACCAGAGCTTTTTTCCAGCCTGTTGCTACAGGAACAGGTTGCAGCAAAAGGGCATTAACATCCAGTACTTTCTGCAGTGGCCAAATCGGGCATTCTGCAAGGCAGGAGAGAGACACCCCAGCAGGGCATCACTCCAACACACCTCTGGGGCTCTTGGGCCCTAGACTGGCCATTTCAGAACCAACAGTGCAATGCAGCACTGCACAGACAGCTTCAGAAGCTTTTTCATAACAACATGAAAGGGTTATTCTAGAAGAAACAAAACAAAACAAAAGGCATCTTATCCACTCTTAGCTTTGCTGTAGTACTCTGGTAAGTGCTTGGTAACAGCCCTAGCACTTCTGATTGTTACTTAGTGCATTCTTTCCTGCCACCCCTAATTCTCTTGAACCTCCTACCAAACCAAGTAGTTTTATTCCACATTCCTTAAATTTTAACTTATCTTCTTTTCATCTACATAGCAATTCAAAATTAATATAGTGAAAAAAAGAACAGCAATAATCTATTTGAACCATCAGCATCACTGAGTGCATGCAATCTCTTTCCTTCATAAAGTATCTCAGAACCAAACCATGCAGAATGTACTTGTTTGTGATCACTCTCCATCAGGCAGTCTGACTCTTAACCATTTCATATTTGTTCTCTCATTTGCTACTGTACATTTAGTCAGAGCTGGATGAAAGCCTGAAATAAATTGTTTGCAAGAACATACTCTCAGTTGTTTTCAAGTTACATGCTGAAAGCAAAATACATACATATTCACCTGCATTTATAAACATACTTTTTATTTGAATTAATATTGCTAACAAATTTGATTCTAGATTTTCAAAGCTGATTGAAGATGATTGTAAATAAAGTTAAAGAGAATTTTGACTCAGATGTACAGTGGTTTCCTCAGCATTTGCTCTAGCTGAATTACACCACCAATCCATTAAGTTTCCTTTTCTACAGTTTTACTGAAAAGGGTTACTTTTCTCTCTCATGTGGCTTTGGTTACTTCATTATTTACTATTTCCTAAGTTTCTACCCCTCCAGACTGTGGACAAGCTTAACAATTTCTAACATAAAGATGACATGATTCTACACCTGCCTTATCCCAGTGTTATTCAGGCCCCACCAATCTGAAGTTAATCCTTAAATTAAAAGAAATCTGGACATCATCCCATGATTTCACCCCTCTTTTCTTCATCATACTTTTATACTCTCTATACCTATTCTATTCCAAGATCTTGAGTTTCACTGGACTTCTTTTAATACAGAACAGTGCTATTTCATGGTTTTGGAAACTTTTAAGTATTGAATGCCAGTGATAACCTTTCTGTGTAGGGTTGCAGGCTTAATTACCTAAAAAGGTAGAGATCAGTTTGAATACTAACAAAAAATAGCTCTGTAATTGGCACTGCTTTTTAAAGAGAGGGAAGAAAAATCAGGAGTTTTGTTACTGCAATGTAGCTCAAGAGTGACAAAATACAGACTAGTGTATGTACTAGTGTGTAGGTATACACTACACAACCGTATTTATTCTCTAATTAAAGAATAAAAACA